ATATATATATATTAAGACTGTAAAATCGTGGTCTTAATCTTTGCTTTCACCATTGTATACTCTGACCATAAAACCTGGATGTTTGGCCCGATTCTCGATTTTGGTCGGACTTATATTGATGAAGAATACCCACATGAACAATGGGTCAGAGTCTATACAGATAAGTCCGCAGAAAGTGAAGTTAGAAATGGTGGTGCTGGAGTGTACATAGAATTCCCAGATGGTACTAGGGATAAGTCCAACGTACAACCGGAAGGTACTGCCATAACTATGATGCAGAAACTCATGCTATCAAGATAACAACAGAGAAACTGCTAAATACGATATTGGCTCACAGTATGTGGTAATACTGACAAATGCAAAATCAGTACTTGAAGCACTCCAGTCTAGGAAACTACCAGAATTGCAAACTCTGCTGACACAACTTAGCCTTCAGCAAAGAGTTGTAATGTAGTGGATACCATCACATTGTGGAATGCCTGGAAATGAGAAAGCTGATCAACTGGCAGGAGAAGGTGCGACAAAAGTGCAGCCAGATATACCAGTCACATAACACCAAAAGAAAATAATCATTAAATCAATCAGGAAGCCACCAGCCCCACCACAAGACGACTATTTTATTATGGACAGATCAGAACAGTCATTATCCTCCGCCTCAGAACAGGACACAACCGATTACGTAACCACATGTACACAAAATTCAAGATAGGCGTATCAGCCATGTGCACCTGTGGAAAGGTGCCCCAGACAGGAGAGCATGTACTCCAGGACTGCACTAAATTTGACACATTAAAGCAAACATTTTGGCCATAAAGAACAACAGTGGAACGTAAACTCTATGGACCACTGAATGCATTAACAACAACAGTGAAATTTATACAAGAGACAATATTGCTGATTTCAGGTGAACGAAAGAGGAAGAAGAAGACTCCAGGACTTGAATGTTGTATGAACATCCACCCATTTTACAGATTGGACTTATTTGTGAGCAAATTCCTCAATCCATTTTTCTCTGACAGATGCACTCCGACTTCGAAGGGAACAATCCTATCGACGTTAGCCAGACTACCGGTTGGGAATCTGTTTATGAGATTATCGCGGAAAGGTGTAGATAAGTCTTTACTAGTAAGAACCTTAACTTGCTCTACTGCAACACCAAATGTGGTTTAGTACCTCTGTATCCTAGACATAATGACATTTGCTGCAAAGTTTGTTGATGAAGTTTCACGAATTGTTTTAAATTACGGTACAGATGTGCAATGACTCTCTTCTTCTTCTAGGTGGCTGTAGTCACTGCAGATTCCTATTTAGCACACCGACATCAATACGACGAGCAGAAGAATGGACGACCGGAAATAACACAAGACTATTTCTGCATTTTATTCTTCAGCTTGTGGCTTCCTCAGCCGGCACCTGAAATATCACAGTCTAGGGCATACACTTTAACTTATAAAAACCATTCTGATCAACGTTACATTTTGGCCGAAATCAGAATCGTAAAAACACAAGCACAATGAAACAAAACAACTGCTGTTCTGACGTTACTAACGCAGCTGGCAAAAATCTTCTCATATGGCCTTGCTGTTAGCCTGGTTGGGCGTTGGAGTTGCAATTATACTCAGAAACATTTTGATCCACACACATTCCACAGTTGTCCACGCACTCCGTTCCTTGGCGAAAACGAGACTGCCCACGAGCCCTTCTAGAGCATTGTATAACGTGATTCCGAATTCTCCGTGTTCTCTGATTTACACGAACTCTATTTGGCCAGCAGTTTCTATGTGATCCCCGTGAATTTCATTTGGCCAGCTATTCTTTGTAATTCAAATGAAGTTCGTCCTATCAGCATTTCTCTACAATTCACGTGTTGTCCCAGTTACACTCAAAATATTCCACTCACATTTATTAAATGACGTCATTCCGTCTGGGACATAATTTATCTAGAAGAAAATTGGTTCACCACACACGCCCCCACCCCAAAAACATGTTTCACATTTTCTATCTAAATAGATGTGAATATTATATTTATGTCTTCTTTAAATATGATAAAATCAGAATTTTGTAGTGAATTATTTTCAACAAGTTCATTTCTAACCAAGTTCCCCTTTTTCCATTGGGTTTACAATTCAAACAATCCAAAAGCCATCTGTTAGGTTTTTCCACGATTGTGAATCCCTTAATGGGATCCTCACTCCAGGCACTCCCCATTTAGTGCGGAAGACCAATAATCTTGCTCCATAGGTATCCCCACCCAGTTCTAAAGTCGATATACAACCTAATCTCTCTTCCCCCCCCCCCCCCCCCCCCCCCCCCCCCCCCCCCCCCCCCCCCCCCCCGTTTGATGCGGAAGTCCAAAATCTTGGCTCTATAACCCAAGTGTGACCCTATGAAGTCCCATAATATTATATTGATAATAATAATTAAATGAATATATAAGCACTAAAAAAAATAATTTAAAAATTATAATAAATAATTGATGCCAAATATTGATGTTCTGCTCCCGTTGACTTCTTGATAGCTGTACTGAAGTTGGTTCTGCGATGACTTTGTTGTCTTCTTGACGGTTATTCTGATGAAACTTTTCAGCTGAACCTTCTACTGCTTTTTTTTTTTTGGGAAGGAATACATAAGAAATAATGTTAGTTTGCCGGACCTAATTACTTTTGACCGCAATTTTTAATTGTTCACAGTAAGGTCATGTTCACGCTAGTAATTATTGCACAAACTGGACACTGATCACAGCGATGTTCAGTGAAGTAATTATTGCACAAACTGGATACTGATCACGGTAGTTTTTCAGTGTAGTCATTATTGCACAAACTGGACACTGATCACGGCGATGTTCAGTGAAGTAATTATTACACAAACTGGATACTGATCACGGTAGTTTTTCAGTGTAGTCATTATTGCACAAGCTGGACACTGATCACGGTGATGTTCAATGTAGTAATTATTGCACAAACTGGATACTGATCACGGCAATGTTCAGTGCGGTAATTTTAGTTTTTGTTATGCACTAGGATTATACTATAGCCAGTTCATTGCTAAACTGTACACTGTATATAATTAACACATGATTTTTATAAGTACTTGAGTTAGAACAGACTATTTTAAATTGTTCTCCTGTTGACTGATTGTATTTAGATCGTCGGAATGCGTTATTACTATTGCATTCTTATGTTTTGGAACGATTTTTATACGATGATCTTGAGGTATCAATGCGTGTTGTTCTTGAGCTATCAATGAGTGTTAATCTTGAGGTATAGTCGGCTTCTCGTACTGTAGTTCTTTACCAAATGTTTTGCCAAGCTTGTTATTTCTAAGCTGTGACACACATATCCAGTGCCAGAGCTTGCTGTCCTTTTGATCTAGGTTTCGGTTCAACACACTACCCGGTTTTGTAACAGTATTCGATGTTGAACTTTTTGAAAACAGATCCGACTATAAGGATCTGGTGTCGACACTTTCTTGTGTTGCTTGGTGCAGATAGCCCACTGCACTTCACCACACTGTAGTCGGCAACAATTTTTTAACAATCAGCAGGCCATCAGAACTGCTGTAGAGGGACAGCCCTAGTCTCATGTTATCCATGCGTAGACTTAGGGTTAATATCCCTCTGCTACCATAGATGACTGCTCCTGCACTGTCACTGTCTACAACTTTTCTGTTGCTTTCTGTTGTCGGATGGCCGAAAACATGAATCGTGGACTTTTCTCTACCATTATTCTTAGCCTGGAATTATTTGTTTGGACGTTGTTCACTCTGTAAACAATCGGACATGGTTGTCGCTACTTCGCCTTCAGTCTTCCCCGCTTACGTTCCGCTCGAACTGGTACTACCCGATGTCATGCTGATAGCTAATCTCAGTTCCTATGTTCAAGAATTCACTGTCCAAAACAAATTTCCCATCCTCTATTGTTTGGACGCTCCCATTTCGTGAAATGACTCTATTCTTCTTCTAGGTGGCTCTAGTCACTGCAGATTCCTATTTCACACACCGACATCAACACGTGTTGTCTGGACTGCTCAAGAACTATCGGGCTCATACTGGACTAATCAGTCACTTTCGTACTTATAATCATTGATTACAGCTTGGCATGAAAAGTGGTCTTCATCATTTGTGATGGACTAACAGCATCCTAGACCTCAAATATAAAATTTCTTTTAGAAATCAGAAGACTGAAGTTCAAATGGAGTAACTTATAAATGACACCACGACTTCGCATTTTATGAGAAACGGAAGGACACTGTCAAAAAGCATTCTTTAAAAAAAAAATTACCCTTATTTGTTTGAAAATGCCAAGATTGTAGAGTCAAATCATTGTCCTGAAAATCTGCATAAAATGAGCAACATTTGATGATACTTCAACTGTGAATCATGTGGGCGGAAAAGTTTAACTTAAAAGAGAAACAGTGCATAGTTTCTGAGAATATTCACAGGAAAATTAAATTTCAGCGAAACTACTTCTCTTAAATACACTTTAGGCAAAATCACAAAATTCTTGAGTAAATATATAGGAGGGTTCTCTCAGAACTACCTTATACTGGCTACCACTAGAACATCTCTACTTGAACATACAACTACAACTTCAGAGCTGCAGTTGAGCAAGATGGTACGACCTTATCTTATCCAGGTAAACACTATAACACAACGTGGAGCCATGGCTGTTAAAAAGAAATCATTCTGTAGCGGATACCAAAAGCCATATAAAGCAGCATTCTTCTGGTAAAATATGCATATATGTGTGTTTGTGTGTTATATTTATATATATGAATGTGTGTATATGTGTGTGTGTGTATATATATATATATTTATATATTGTGTGTGTGTATTTGTGTATGTGTGTGTGTGTGTGTGTGTGTGTGTTAAACCACAATACCACACAATAATATACTGATAAGAATAATAAAATTAGATCAAACAGATAAATGTGTAAGAGGATAAAGTGATGACGAACAGAAAACCAGAAACGACAACCACAAAACCTTTACATGTTTTTTCAAACATTGTGGAAATAATACTCATTTTCCATTTTAAGCAGCTCTTCGTCACTAAGATTTCCAGCGGCTGCAAACTCCTCCAGTTCAAACTTTCTCTTAACAAAACAAAAATATTGCACGAGTTTACTGCCCATTGCTTCTGTAAGAACAGTATCAGCCTCTAAAGTCCGAAGGGCAGTCTCTAAGTCAGTTGGAAGCATGCATTTGGATTCATAAGCTTCAGGCAATGGAAGTTTTCTCTTGACTCCATCGATGCCGGCTGCCAGTGTACATATGAGCACTAGATAAGGGTTGCTAGCGCCGAGTGGAATTCTGTTCTCAATATAAATGTTGTCTTGGCCTTCTATCTTGAGTCTGAAAGCTGCCGAACGTTCCCCGACACTCCAGTTAGCTTCATGGGCTACATGGAACATGCTTGTTGTCCTGCATTAGACATAATTGTTTTTTTTTTTTTAATCAGACAAATGTATAAATGAACTACATGTGCAGTGTAAATGAACTCTGAGTAAAGATTTAGACATTTCTGGCACTTTTCAAATGTTGAATGTTGAATTAGGAATCAACATCATAGCACGCAGGACCCCATATATAAGCGCTCCATCCCCATCTTCTTCGGCAAAGCGAAGAGTTCCAATTCCGATGGCTCTAGTAACAGTATGATTGTATATCCGTCTCGCCTTTACCCTGAGTGTCGAGTGTCGGCCAAATCCCATTGTTACTCCTCGCAGCGCCATTTGCTTCAAACCGTAATGATCCATATGCGCTTCGGCACTGTTCACTAGCTCTGAAAGGGCCCTCACAACATCCAGCTTGTCATACATCAGTTCACCACGGACCGCTTATCTTGTTACTTATCCATCTTTCGATTTAATAGTGTTATATTGTGATATAGGGAGGCATGAGATCTTATATAACTTTGATGGCAAGTGTGACTGTCAAGACCCACTCGCGTTAAGAATGACGTTCTACAAAAAGTATGAGATTTTATCTATTTTCTCGGATGCACAGCTATTACCGTATCTGCAGTTATTTTCACTTCTATCGCTTTTGATATCATTCGTTATTTTCCCCTCCATATAACATAATCATTGTAAACATCGTTAAATCGTAGTAGAAGCTGACCTCAATATCTTCCACCCATATCTGTAATTCACCACGGATGGAGTCTGAGACATAAATTTAAATGAAATATCAGTGACGTGTGGGACATAACTATAAATTCAATTAAAGCTATCATCTTTGCTGAATACGCATTAGAGCCTGGAAACTGACCCGTCTAACTATTTGTTTAGTTAAATATATGTGGTTATGGGTTATTTTTACAATCACTACCATAAGTTTAAAAAAAAATTTCAATTTTCAAGTCCTATATTAACAGGCACGATTAAATACACAAACATGCAAGACACACCTGTAACAGTTAACAGTGGGACAACAAAATGCTGTCATCGCAGGGGCGTGCTCTATTAAGCCAGCTAGCCAGTAACACCCAAGCTCAGACAGATTGTTGGGTTTACTGGTGTCTAGAAAAGCGTTTTTGCCAGATGGAGTCCACAAGGAATGGTTAAAGTGCAAGGCCATACAGTCCTCCCTTCTGCTAGCCATTGCTGACATGAACGTGGCCTCATAACCTCTAGACTTCATGAATCGTTTGATGATGTTTTTGAACTGTACTGTATTTCGGATAGCCTGGCAAAGAAAAGAGAAGATGTATTACTAAGTACGAAAACACAGTTTATCCCAGGCAAAGTTTCAAACCTGTCAGAACTCAGTCTTCTCCAAACTACCATTTTCCCGTTAGCTTATTATCTGGCTTACAACTAACAATTCTGCACCAGGAGTAGGTAGGTGTATTTGGCTTGTGTGGTGGCAAAACAATAGCTGGCTACGATACAACTCACGATTCTCAGCCCACCTCGTTCGGCTATGTGATTGGTATCGAATCCCACTATGTCAATCAACATTATGACATGTCTTCCTTTGTTGTTTAGACACAACGTGCCGAGAAGTGACGAGGGTTCGTTTGACGAGGTCGACACACCGTCTCCCCTGAAGAGCTTTCTTAAAACAACTCTCTTTTCTGTGAACGAATGTTGTTTCTGGAATGTGTGGTTGCGATAAGGTCTCACGCACCACAGGCGACTGTAAGCAAGGAATAAGTACTACAGGGGGGAAGCGCCGAAGACGAGGAGATTAGTAAGTATGGAATCATTGATAATTTTTTATTTTTACGCTCGCTAGTAGTATCTGTTGTCAGTGATGGATATGCTTGAAACGGTAAAAAATAAAGAAAAAAAGCAACACATGACACCCCAAGAACATAGGACAACCCGTGGGATCCAGTATGAAATCACACAACCGACAGAGATGGCGTGATAATCGTGAGTTGTGGGGTGGAGTCAGTGGGCTCAGTGGGGTTTTAACCCTTAAGAGAACTAGATATTTCAGCGACTGGTGTGACCACAGAAGAAAAAAAGACAAGGATTTAAAACTTTTACATTATACGATCCTCATATATTATTTAAAAAAACCTAAAACATTATTCAGGTGCGACTGATCAGCAGCGATGAAAAGACTTTAATAAAATGTCAACAGTAACTTGGTGACTAACCACGCATACTTTACAGGTAAATAGCGGATTTTTAGTCTTTCTCTGCTCATTCAGCCCTTCAGCTGACCCATATTTGCATATTTATCCTACTTCGTCCTAATCTTCTCGAAGCCCTAATTTAGAATTCCGTTTGTCTTCGGAATCACCATCATCAAGTGCTTTGTCATCTGGTGTAGGCGTTCTTACGTCGCCACAGATCTCGGTCTTCTGTGTTCTGCATCAATTCCATTGATGACATTCCTCCATGCCACTGTCATAAGCCATCCGCCATCATTTCTTTTGGTCTGCCTCTGCCTCTTTTACCAATTGTTGTGATATATTCCAATGCTCCTTTTTTCGTCACATGACCAAGGAACTATGTCTCCTTCTCATTGTTATATAAAATGTTCTACTTTCATTAGTCATTTCCAGGCATTGAATATCGGTTATTCTGGCAGTCCAATGTAATTTTAACATTCTTCTCAAGAGCCACATTTCAGTAGCCTTCAAACACTCTTTAATTTGTTTGCCCACACTCCAAGATTCACTACCATACAACAGAACAGGCTTGATATAACATTTCAATATTCGTTTTCTAATGCTTTTGAAAAGCTATCTTTGCCTGACCAGTTTTTCTCTTAATCTCTGTCGCACGTCGTCCATCTGGTGTTTTAAATGTTCCCAAAAAACTTGAATTTATTGACTTGGTTAAGCACTTTCCCTTCTATTGATACGTCACATTTTTGGTTTCTTCTTTGATATATCCATTGTTTAGGTTTTTTTTTTTTTTTTTTTTTTTTTTTGTTATATTCAAGGAGAGTTTCTTTTTATTTTTTTTATTTTTTGCACTCTCTAGTATAACAATGTCTGAAAGTTGTTGTAGATCTTCCGCGTTTTCAGCTAATAATACTGTATCATCTGCATAACAAAGATTGTTTATATTATAACCTCCAACTAGTATTCCTGGTCATAAAAAGTGTTTGAAATAAAGCCAATAATTCACCAATTAAGTACTGGTCGTTCAGAAAACATCGTACGGAAATCTTGATCTTTTATCCTCTCTCTTATTCCCCCATGGAGCAGACTTAACTCGCGCCATGTCATTTTATTTTTTCATCGCCTATAATTCACCCTACTGCCTAAACATCTTTCATTGTTCAATTCTCTAAAGCTTTCATATATGTATATATGCCGGTTGCGTTGCTTTTGTCTTTGACCTTGTGGGTACCAATGAAAGGAGCTTCTAGTAGTAATTTATGCGATTTTATCAAAGTGTTTTCTGATCTTATCAAAATCTGTTACTCGGTTTAACGGTCCCAACCCCCATCCAAGTTTTATTCGTCTACTTCCTGTCTTTTT